CAGCTCACACACTGACACAGCATCACTTTTTTGTTCTCACATGTTCATAGTCAGTTACAAAGCCAACAGCACTTGCAGGGCAGCTAAAAATGAGCAAATATTTTCTCAATAAGATGCTACACAGTGGTACTGTAATGTTTATTTTTTAATGCTAAACCTCCTCTCCATAACTTTGACCCAGAGCATACTTAAACTCTGTTTCTGATAGGTTCTCATTTTCTCAATGGCCACATAAATCGAAACTAATAAAATACAGAAGAAAATTGTCCCAATGAGCATGTAGGTCTTGCTAATAGAAATATGATAGGTGGTATACTACTTACTGTGTGASTGATAAATACCTGGAGCAAAATAAGGAGCAGTGATTCAATTTGAGGGTGCATTTTTGTGACAAGTTTAATATTTTTAAGCAAGATGGACAAGTAAATTTTCCACAGAACATTTTAGTACTTCATGAAGTTTGCCTTCATCTATATTTATTTCCCACATTCTTCCAAGAATGATGTAGCATCTGAAATTAAAAATGCTTTCCAGTAACGATCTTATGAAGGTTGTCACTGATGACAAAATAGAAGGGGAGCATTTGAAGCATGCATTTTTGCAATTGCATAGAAGTGCAAGTATAGAAGAAATCATACATCACTATATATATCATACATCCCTATATAAATCATACATCCCTTTACATATATTGTAAAGCTGGAAAACATTTGGTTTACAAACAAGCATTCTCTCTTTATGAGAGAGAATAAAACACCATGTTCAGTGGCTATTGAGAGGCAACTCTGCTTGTTGCCAAGTGGTTCTTACCTTTTTTATCTAGTTATCATCTGTGTATCTAAGTTCTTTGATTTTGCATGGGTGATTCAAGAAGAGGCCTCAGATGCCAAAATCTGGCTTGCTGTCAGCAGAGCAGTTTTAAATTTAAGCACTGGATCAGTCAAAGTGCAGTTTTGCTCCCACACTAGTTCCCTTCTTGCAGAGTGAGAGCAACTGGAATCAGATTACTTAATGGCTCAAAAGGGCATGAATAGTTTGGGCCTAAAAATTAATCACCATAAACCAGTTTTTCTTTATTAGAGGCCTGTTTTGAAGACTTTTACTATTACTCTTCTTATCGTTGAACACTTTGTGAAAGGGCTATTTTTCATAGCATACACAAAAAGACCAATCTGTTTATTAAATTGTCCTATGCCTATTCATGGCCCCAGTGCTTGACAGTTTTAGCTGAAATGTATCAGAAATGTCATGTGCCAGGTAATGTAATGGTCATAATTTTGCAGAAAAGTACAATTACACCAAAAGAGAACATGTTGCTGTGCCTTTTGGTCAAGGGATTTCACCTTGTCTTGTAATAGGAATAACAACTTGGCAGAACAGGAGCATCTAAACACAGGGCTGACAGCAGAGCAGGAGACCTTCAACTCCCTCCTTTCTGGGCCACTCTTTCCATCTGCAGTCAGGGTTCTCTGCTGCTTATCTAAACTGTCACACAAGATGTGATTACCTACTTTTTAAAACAACTGTAGTATATAAAACTTAGAAGAATCTCACCCTGATATGCTAAAATAAAGACAAAAAAATCCCCAAACCCATCCAATCAAACAGAAGATGGAGCCAGAGAGCAGCTTTTTAAAGCAAATTGCCAGGGRAGATTGGGGATTCGGTTTGCTCCAATCCCTAAACCCTAAACAAGACTACAGATAAGGAATTGGAGAAAATCCTTCAAGACACTACTGCTGTACGAGGGCTACTGTACCAGGGAAGAAGAGGCTTAACTGTTTGTGAACACATCGGTCCAAACCAGCACAGCTGCTTCCCCTGCTTCTTCYGTTCTCACCCTGCGCATGAATAACATGAGGCACTACTGCTGCTTAAGGCAGGCAGCCTAATTCTGCTCTACCCAAATCAAAAGAGGGAAAGTAAGCCTGCATCAAAAATATAAAGGCCAAAACTAACAGAGGGATGGATGTTTCATTTACTATGGTGTCATGCCAGAACACAGAAGAAATGATGCTAAGAAAGATGAGGTGATATTGATTCGATATAAAGTAAGCTGCACTTTACAGCTTGCTTTTCATTCTGTATTACTGGTGGATACACTCTTTCAAGAAAGTTCACATAATCCAAGTATACCTTGTAGACAATAAGAAATAGAACATTTAAATGTTGTCATCGTGTAATTTTTGCTATTTCCTGCAAAAAGCAAATACCAGAGGAGCATCTTATAATTCTTAATAATATGGTTTGGKTTTTTTTTATGCAGAACAATAACTGAATAAGCTTGCTTTTCTTGGCTTCAAATTCAGTTACTAAGTTGTCCTGCTGCCAGTCCATACAATCTGACCTGAAAGCTATGACAGAAAATGAAAAAAATATATTCTAGGAAGTATTTACGAGATTTATTTGCTTGATTTTTTCTTTTCAGTTACAGGGGRAAACATTTTTCTAAACTACCCTAATTTTGCTTCCATAAGTACTCACTAAACTTGAAATGTACAGCAATTCTAACTTTGTCTGAACTGTCACACAAAACATGATTACCGACTTTTTGTCATTACAGGAAAACTGGTTTTTAATTTTTTTTATTGTTTCGTGTGTGACAGTGGAAGATCTGGGAGAACACTCAGATCTTGACGGTAATTTCATTGCCTTTTCCACCCTCACAATACTCTTTTAGCCTGTCAGGGAGAATGCAAGAGGAATCTCCAGGTTCTCACTTCGAAGTCTTTCTGTTTCTTCTCTGTCTGCCTTCCTCCTCTCCCCAGGTTTCCATACACTACTTTTTCTTCCCTAAGTCATAGCAAAATTGCTTTTGATTGCAATMATTTCCCAACCATATTTCCCCATCTCATCGGGGAAAGCAGAGCATTGACCTCAAGTTTGCACACCTGGTAAAATGATGTACTAGACCTCAGGACACCTTTTTATTATTCAAGTACTTTCTTGGTCTTGCAGAGGAAATCACCATTACAGATAAGCTTTAAAAAAATGCCCTTAAAAATTTCATCTTGGATAGCCACCCGAGTCTCTCTCACATTGTGGTTTTTTTTTCTCCTTCCTTTCTCCCCAAAGGGTAACTTATTTCCAAAGACCAAGCACTTATATAAAGCATATATTTGATTTCAGCATATTATTATTTCCCTTCAGTCCAAAATGTATGCCTGCCTTTCAGAGTCTTCCTCCAGTGTCTTAAACCTTGAAGGAGTGAGTAGTTGGACCTGGAACTGTTTCAGGATATAAGAGAAACAAAGTTAATAGGGAAGAGTGATGTTTCAATAGGCAATAGGCAATAGAGGATAATCCAAATTATTTGGGAAATATGTAGGATCTCCTTCCAGACCCACACCTTTGCCTATCAAGATACCCWTTTTTTCAACTACTTTCTTCCTTAATAGCCTGTTTGAAAAATATATTCAGGGTCCCCCAAGAACCTGGAGCCTGGTGTCTCCAGCATATGCTCAGTCCCTGTTTATTCTGTCAGTGATCCACAGTGCCTAATCTTGAGTGCAAACAACTACAAGGTCAGCAGACCTTCCCAGACTTCAGTTTTAAAAGATTTTTTTGGATATATTCTGAAAACTATCAAGTATATCAATCTTCAAAGAATACCTCACCTTATCAAGTAGTGAGACAAGCATTTCCACCTGTAGGTCTAGCCTAGGACTGCAGGATCATCGATAGCAGTAAGAAGTAGGGGGGCGTCTTTCACTCTTTAGAGTAGTTCCCTTTTAAGAATTATGAGGAAGAGATATSATCTAGTCCAATCACACATCCTCAGGGAAATAGTTTGAGAGTGCAGATTCCTTTCTGTAATCCAGCTGTTGCTGAYCAGACCTTTCCCTCTACAGCACTTTTCTGGACCTCTCATGTTTAGCTGAGAAAGTTTCAATGTCTTGCTGCGYTCCTGTAGACCTTGCTTTTGTTTAGCAGAACACAGATTACTAAAAATGGTGACATTTTTGTTTCTGTCACAAGACATTGACTTGTATCTTTCCTCTGTTGCCTCTATTTATTACATAGGCAACAGAAGTGTGAGTGGGCAATCACTGTTTGTTCTGTTGCAGATGCTGCTGTGTGCTACTCCTGGAGAAAAAAATAAAACTCCTGATCTTGGATTTTTTCATACCTGATTTTTTTTTTTTTTTCATGGAGGATTACTGCTCATTGGCTTAGTGTGGGTAAATTTAAAGTTGCAGCTGAAATAACGCTTTCCAATCTGCTGACAACTTCTGCAATGTAGGACTACAGTTCAGACATTAGGCATAATTTTCCAGAATCTTTGGAGACAGATTATGAAATTTTGGCGTACATCTCGGGAGGAAGTTGCCTTTCACTGGCTTCAGCACAGAGCTTTGGGCAAGTGATCTGACTTTTTGGAGCTCAATGAATCTGTCAGGAAAAGCGAGTGAAAAGGAGCCTCTTGATAGAAACGAGCTGCTGGAAGTATGTTGCGATTCCCTTAGGAATGAACTTTTTGAAAGAGAATTTCTGCTCGCGCCATGCTGCAGCCTTGCCTGCTCGCGTCCCTATCTAATGCAGCAGCAGAAATACCACGTTCACCTTCAGTCCCAGGAACATCTCAAGATAGGAAAATCACAAAGGGAAGCAGCCGCTTTCAGCAGCRGCTTAAAGTATAATCTTTACTCGTTTGGGGTTTTTTTCGCCCAGTGGTCACTGCAGTGCGGCCCCGGGACTGACCGCACGGAGCTGACAGACCATAACCGGGCACGGGTCCGGAGAGGAACACGCTGCCCGGGCTGCTCCTGGCCGAGCCCGCGCTCCTGAGAGGAGAGGTGTGCTCACACCAGCGCCGGGCCGCAGCTTTCCCTTCGCGAAGGCGCGGCGCCACAACCCCACTCTGCGACATGGCGACGCGCTGCCGCCATTTCCCACCCCTCAGCCCCCCACGCCCCGCCCGGCCCGGCCTGGCCCTGCCCACTCGGGGGCGGTGCCGCCGCCGCCAAAACGCTGTTCCTGCTTCCCCGGGAGCGACCGGCCCTGGCAAGTCCCTCCTCCKCCTCGGCGGTGCKGACCGCCTCTCTCCCTGCCTYCCTCCCCCGGCCGTAGCCTCCTCCGGCGGCAGCGACGGTGCCCGCCGGCCCCATGGCGGCGGAGCCCCAGCCCAAGGCGCTGACTCGCAAACCCCTCCTGCTCAACAAAGTGGAGGGCTCGCAGGAGGTGGTGAACATGGCAGCGATAGTGCCCAAGGAGGACGGGGTCATCAGCGTCTCGGAAGACAGGTACCGGGGAGCGGGTGTTCAGCGGGGCCTTGGCGGTGGTCTGTCACCTCCCACCACTGCTGCTGGTGACGGTGGCAGCCGCGGGCCCGCGGCGCGGGGTCCTGGGTGGCGGTMCCCCATCGCCAGCATCACCCGCGAGCGGTGGCGGAAGGTGGCGCGTCCCGCCGACGGGGGATGGTGGAGACAGACCACCGGCATCCCTGTGGGGCTCCACTACCCGGAGTCCGGGCTACCATCAAGGTGGCGGTGGTCCAGCATGGGGACATTTCTTTAGGGAGACACATCACGTCGTGGAGGGGAAGGAGCCTGGAGCAGGGGTCTCCAGTTAGGTGTCCCGCTCCTCCTCCTCCACTGCTGTGTGGGTCAGAGTAGTGACTGGGCTGGGGGCGCCGCTGAAACTTGCAGGACTTGAGTGACTTTTCTTAGCGTGGGTAAAATGGAATTTGAGATCCTCTTCGTCACAAGGGTTGCGGGGAGTCTGTGGAGGTATCTGACCTTGCCTAAAGACTGTGGCGTATTGGCTGAAACAGTAGTTTTGGTTCCCATTTCCCCTCTCCAAACGTTTCTTGGTAATSGTTTAAAAATACCATGTATCAGTGATAAGATCTTGCAGTTAAATCCCGTTTTGAAAAACTGCCAAGGAGAACGCTTTCAGGCCCTTTAGCAGGGCTTCGCAGGGTTTGARGTTGCCCAGAGGTAACTCTGTCTCTTCTGAAAGAGCTCAAACTTAATTCAGCCCTGCAGCCGGAGCTTCAAAATTCTATCTTGAAGTCCTTTTGTTTTAAAATAAGAGCTTGTTTTTCTTGCAGTGTCCATAACTAGTTATTTTAAGCAGAGTTGCAACTCAGATGTACCACATAACCTGTGTCCTAAGATTGAAAGACACATTTTGACYGGTGTGTCAATATGTTTTGATACTCAAGGGTATTTGGATGGACTGTTTCTCATGGATGCCTATTGTTCTGTTGAATGTCTGCTTTTACATCTTCRCAAGCTTTCCAAAAAAACTGGCAATATTTCTTTCATTTTTGTCCTCATTGTCACGTAGTTTTCAGCTAATTTTCAAATATGTGCAAATTTAAGATCATCTAAGTTCATCTAGGCTGAGGTCTCCAAATGAACTCTCATGCCTGGCAGCAAGAGGAGCTGAGCTATTTAAAACGAGTACACCGTCAAAGGAACTTTAAGCAGAGTTTTGCATTGCTATGTGCTCATGATTTTATTGTCTTTACATTTTTTATGTATTTGATGTGATGTTGAATAAAGCTTGAGCTTGTTTTGGTTCATTGTAGCTTGTTAAACTTACTTAGCTAATTGTTTTTACTTATAATAAGGTATTCCTGAAATTTATTTCTTCTCATATAGATGTCTCTCTCAATTTCCACTTCTTCCTTAACCTTAGAAAAAAATAAGTAGCTTTAGTTGCTGATAATAGGTTGATGCTCCAGGCTGATGTTTCTGTGTAGAGAAAGGGGTTGATTAGACACCTTTGCTTTCACAAGTAGCTGAGATGTCAGCTTTGAGAAACAAGCAGTGAAGAAGAACGTGTGTGTTTCACAATAAGAAACTCTCCAATTCATAAACACCATCCTCACCTTTCCCATCCCACAGCAAACCCTTGGATGTGTGACTGGATGTTTAATGTTTTGCTAGTGATACAGGATAGCTCAACAGTCATAAAGTACTGTAAGAAGTCTGGAGGTTCCCAAGCTATTTTCTTTAAAGGAATTAAGCAGGTAATGTGCCTGCTTGCGCTGCTTATTTGCAACCTCCTTGACATGCTACAAGCTATGATCCTGCCTTTTATTTCTTTAGGCATGAAGATGTTGGCTGAGGGCTCCTTTTTTTAATTTTCTGCTTTCATTAGCATTTTTATTATAATTAAAATGTTAGGAGTCTAAAACTGAAGAATAACAGGTTGGGAGACTAACTTGTAAGTTTGGGATACCTGGGGTGAAAGCATAAGTTGCYGGACTTTCAATACCTTTGTATTATGATTAGGCTTGTGCAGATCCTTATTGCACTTTTTCCTGTTTGGACCTGCCTTCTAGTGTTAGTGCTGACATGGTTGTTTAATGGCCTTGGAATGTGGAGGGCTTTTAGAGCTTCCTGGAATCTGTTAAGGATAGTTATGGAGATGCTATCTGTCCCTTGTTAGCCAAGTGAGTTTTGTCCATRTTTCCCAGCCTGTGATATGCACTGCTCTTATGAGGAAAATGTTCTGAAACTTTTACAGAGAACTTTAGCTGGAATGACTTGCCATCTCCAGTACTTGCTTCAGGCTGGGTCCTCTTCTGTACGTGGAGGAGGAATTGTTTTGCTGGTGAATGGCTGAACACATCGTCACTGAAGTTGCTGGTAGTCTTAGTGTATGCAACAGCTAGGTACCACTTTAAAGGTTTTCTTTGCTGCACAATATGGCCCTATGCACCAAAATCTTTTGAAATGGGAGCTAGCTTGATCTCTGGTCTCAATTTTGTATGGTACCAGTGATGTTATCAGGTTTTAAAATACATGGAAGTGGTTTCAGCTATAATTTGTATAGGCATGCATATATAGCCCCAAATCATATTTGTAGCACACACATGCATATAGTTTAAGAAATAAAATGAAAACTATGAAATAATAGAGAATGTGGTTATTCCTCATAAAGAAAAGCATGGTGGAAGGGAGGGAGGAAGGAATCTCAGGGGGGTTTACATATGTAACTAGATTACCAAAACTTTAYATACCCTACGAAGTTGGAGTTTCTTTTTAATGTGTCATTTGTACAGATGATATACACAGATTTTCTCTTCTGAATCCTGGTCACTCATGTTAATTGAGGGATGTTCATTGTGTAACCAAATCTTAGTGGATTTTCTCATTCTTTACCAGGGCAAAATAGACTGAGCCTGTATCTCTACAGCACAGCTGGTGTGCWTTGGGAGGGATAAGATATATTTTGTGGTTTTCTTCTAAGGAAAGGGATGCACCTGTCTAGACAGGTGAGAGTTAAAGTAATGGCAACGTTTTTTATCCTGGAATATATAACTCTAACACAGGGTGACTCTAAGAAGTTAGTAGCTTTCATCCATGCTCTTTCCCTGCCAGCAAACACATGGAATCAACAGATATCTACAGCAAAACATATAGAGTCTTGAGTGATCCATAGCATTGTATGCCCATGTGAAGCTAAAGTGGGATTTTCCTAATGTGCACAGCTGACCCTAAGTTGTCATCAGCTTCCTGATGAGGAATTCAGAGCATATGCTACGTTTCAAAATTGCTGAGCATCCTTGTCTTTTGTTGCCTTCAGAGGGAGATGTGGGTGTTGGGCATGTCTGAAAAGTAGGTCACTGGCATGTCAAGTTCAGACATATCTAACTCCATGCTCCAGAGAAGATTTAGTGTCATTAATCTTACCTGAGCATGGGATGCAGTGGGACAAGTGCCCTGACTCACCCAGCTTTCAGTGCAAGCAGTTCTGCTGGGTGCTGGCACATTTGTGTGTTTCTCAAGATCCTGCCAGTGATGTGAGCACTAACTCAGCTGAGCCTCCTGTGTGCTGATCGTGTGTCACTGTATGAGACTGAAATGAGGGGGCTGAGTGTCATTGTGCTAAGCCTGCACTTTGCCAATAGCCCTCTTTTTTACCACTAAAAAAAAGCTGTATTGTAAGTCAGGAAAACTTACACAGAGGCTAGTGTAAGAAGCTTTCCGGGTAATTGTGAACTCTGGTCTGTGCCCTCTTGTAGGTGGGACTTCTGTGCTCACTTCCATGCTACAGACCTTGGAAATGTAGGTGTTGCAGTCAAGAGCTATTCTCCATAAAGTATTCGCAAGAAGTAAAAGTTTTCACAGTCAACTGAAAATTCTCAAAATCCTTTCTTTTTAAAAATGGGCATTCTAGTCTCTTAGAAGGTGACAAGACCTAGGAGAAGAATATTTATCCATTCATCCCATAGCTTTTTTTTTTTTAATTATTATTATTATTATTTAGGGTTTTTTTATTAGCAGGTAGAGACCTTTGTCTTCTCCATTACCTTGTATTATCTTAAGTTCCTTTTAAACTTAGAGGTCTCATCTTCTTCATATGGATCACTGTATAAACAATGACCCCAGACTGCTTGTCTTATTAGTCTTCATAGTGTCTTCATCTCACATAGAGAAAACTGTGCAGAGTTTGTGTTGCTAGATTTGGTTTCTGAGGTTTGAGGTTTTTTAATATAAATGTGCACTTCAGCTGTTGTCCAAGATTTGTCTTCTGGGTATGCTAACTAGCTGATTTTTTAGGGGGCACAAAAACTTAATGTCCATCTTGTGTAAATGAAAATCTCTTTGCTAAATTTAATGCTGAACAATGAATGAGAATGTGTATATATAAAAAGAAATGGGAGAGTCTTTGGCTTTTTACTGATATGAATTCTAACATGGAGAACAGTAGTCTTTCCACGCTTAAGTATACGAAAAACAATCATTTTCTCCTTGTGGTTTTCCTGCCCAGATCCAGAACATTAAACTCATAGCATTATAGTTCACCTGTGAAAAAGCTGTAATGGAAAGGTGGTTTTCTTCACAGTGCTGCATTCAGGCAGGGTGTCAGGAACTGCAGACCCTTGGTAAACTCTGGATTTCCTTTCTCCTGTAGTGGAGTAGTAGAAAGTGCCCAGCAGGTTGCCCAGCCTTTGCCCAGGTTGAAATACAGGTCTGTAATTCTTATGTAAGCACTGAGTTATGTCACTGATATCTGCTCTGCCTTGTGTGTGGCTGTTGGTCTGCAGCAGTAGTGTAGGTGGCTTAAGAACTGATTTTGATATGGTTTGTGTATGTTTATCAGCCCATAGATTTCACACCCAGATGATTGCAGCATGATCAGTAGCTCAAGCAGTGCAGGTGTGGATGCTCTTCACAGGTGAAAAAATACTTGTCCCAGCCTGGAGGGTCTTTAAATTTTGATAAAAACATCAGTCACCAATAAAATTGTTGGTAGGAATTTAAGAGACCTAGAGCTCTAGATG